TTTGGCAAAATTTGTCAACTTTTCTGATCTCATAATTTATAAAATAGACTCTATTATTATTATAAGAATAGTTCTGGCTTTGAAATTTAAATATGGAGAAACATTTATATTGGGTGAGCAGGAGCCAAGAGGAAATAAGTGCCTTTCCTCTGGGTAAGTGTGGCATCATTGTTGTTCCTTGAAATGAGGTTGGGGATTTGATGATATATTTGAAATTTTCATACTTCTTTATTATCCTCAAAGTAATAAAGATTTCTGAGAGTGTACTAAAGATGAAGTATAGTGTCATTCTTTGGTTCATATGTTTTTAAAATTCTCTCAATCCATGACACCCAGAAGAATGAAAGTGGATTGTTGAATTAAATTTGTTCTTTTTATAAATTTGTGTCTAAGCACCTTTGAAAATAGGTTTAAAGGAACATATTTTGTAATTTGACTTCCTAGGGATACTTCATTCACATCACCACCACTTTTAGGCTAAGTTAAACCTTCTAGGCACTGTGAATCACCTCTTCTCTCATTCTCTCTCATTTCATTGCTAAAAATTAGAGGAGTGGCCTTATGCAAGTAAGATTAACACAAAGGAAAGCAATAATAGTTCCCTTCTAGGGGCTTAAGGATTTCTGGAAGCAAAGAGTTCCCAAAATATTTCAGTGGAAATGAGTTACTTGCCATCTAAAATGTTGTATGGCATTGAGAATGAGTTGCTAGAATTGGAAAAGGTCATTATTTGCAAATGTTTAAGTAGTCTTTTTCATGTTCACAGAATTCTTCAACATTGTGCGAAGATGAGACTTTCTTTAAGCCATAACTATCGTGTATGCTGCTGGAAAATGGTATGTTAAAATTATTTTAAAAACAAGATATTTTCAATTGTTTTATTGTTTGTACCTGTACTTCTAAGTTTAATCTGCTTTCATCTAAGTTATGTGAGAAGTTCTTTGTAACATTTATATTGGTTTATTCAGAAAAATACCCACCTAATAGACACTGAAAAATCAGGCCTGTAAGTTATACTTTTATTGAATATAGTTTGTTTTGTTTTAATGGAGGGGGAAGGACAGAAGAATTGATTGGATTTGAGTATGTAAAAACATAGTCATTATAAACCATGATATTATAGTATTCTATATTTTGATAACTGTGAAAATAAATTCTTAAATGCCGACTTGGAGGAAGGGATTCTCGTACTTTGATTTCTGTATCTATACTAATTTAACTGAAAACCTGTATGTTGCTGTAGTTCCTAATTTTTGTCTACATTCTATGTGAAGTTCAGAGAACTTTTCAGTGACTTTTCAAAGATACTAGAATTTAAATCTGCTTATAAATAGACTGGGTATCAACTTATGGAAAAATTCAAGCAAACATAAGTATTCTACAAATATTCAACTTCTGAATAAGAATCTGAAGTTGCCTTAGAGTTCATTAATAGTCATTTAAATCTTGTTAATGGATAACTCCATTTCCTGCTATTTTTATTTACTTGGTTTTAGGTACCTGGGATAAATGAGAGCAATATATTGCCTTTGCGTTTGAAAGAATCACTCATACCCAACGTGGGAAGATTTCTTGCCTACTCTGATGACAAAGTATATGCTATCTTTTTAGATGGCATTAGTCTAACTCTAAATTGGAATTTCAGCTCTTCTGTTGAAAAGAGACAGGTTAGGTATACTTCAGACTGAAATCTATTTGTTATTGGTTATTTATTTGTGGAAAACAGAACAAAAAAAATAAAGTACCATACTATCTCAATTGATTTATTTAATTATTTCTTTTTGAGGCAGAGTCTTGCTCTGTCGCTTGGCCTAGAGTACCATGGCATCAGCTTAGCTCAAAACAACCTCAAACTCCTGGGCTCAAGCAATTCTCCTGCCTCAGCCTCCCCAGTAGCTGGGATTATAGGTACACACCACGACGCCCAACTAATTTTTCTATTTTTGGTAGAGATGGGGTCTCGCTCTTGCTCAGACTGGTCTCGAACTTCTGACGTCAAGCGATCCTCCCACCTTAGCTTCCTAGAGTGCTAGTATTACAGGCTTGAGCCACTGCTCCCAGCCTTAATTTATGTTTTGAAGTATAAAATCTGTCAAGAGGCTTTACTGATCTCATTGGATTTCCTAGCAAAAATTGGAATTGTGTGACAAATAACTATTTTTATAAAGATAACTCATAACAGAGAGAAGGATTAGTATTTTTACTCTCTTTGATAATTATTTATATGAGTGGTGGTTAAATAATACCCATATCCCATGTAAAATATGTTTAAATTATCAAATTTTTAATGATTACTCTTATGTTTTAAGTTGCTAGTGAAGTTAGGGTTATTTATGTTTTTGTTTTCAGTTTTAGAATGATAAAACTTACCTTTCCTCTTTGCTTCTTAAGGTAAATCAAGGTCTTAGCTTAGGTTGGTGTAAGTTAACTTTTCCTGATGGACAAGATCAGTTAATTCAAATTGAGCACCCTGGACCATATGAAAGGTACTGACAAGCAATTTTTAAAAATATTTTTATGTTTTACTTTTATTTGATGGAGACATATAAACATTATTTAAATGTTATACTGGTATTTAGCATAACTAAATAGGATCAAGTCAGTTTCAGTCATTTCCATTTATAGTCAAGTGATTTTTCATAATGAAATGTGTTATAGACACACTGACCTACTGTGGAGTTTGGACTGTGGTCAGCTGTGTTAGCCAATTAACCAATTCTCTGATTTGACATGAGGTTTACAACCACAGGTAACTAAAATTGTGTATATTTGTATAAAGTGGATAAAATTAAATTACCTGATGATTGTTCTTAAAATGGGGAAGATTCTTCAGCTTTTTGTCTTTTGACTTACGTAATTTGTTATTAGTTATAATAGTTCTACTTGTAATAGTCTTGACATTTTTGTGATTTTACTTGAGAATGTTCATAGAATTGCTTTTTTCACCTCTTGAATTTATTTTTCTGTTGGGTTTCATTGCTTTTTGGACTAAACTCTCCAACAGTCATTGTTCTTTTGAATAATTTGCCTGAAAAAGATAGTGTCTAACAAACATTACTATTTGGTTCAGCCAACCACTTCAGATCATTCATTTCATTAAACTTAGTACTTGTTTTGTGTATTCAGTGAGTTATATATAATTATATGTACATATATGTATGTGTGTGTATGCATTAATGGGTGTTTTCTGATTTAAATTTTTATAAGCAAATGCTCACGTAGGCTTATTATGTATAGAGGCATTTTAGGATAAAACAATGAAAGCCATTTTACTTTGAAAAACTAAAAGGAGAATTTAAACATTTGAATTTGAACTTCAAATGAAATCCAAGTTTCACCTTTATTTTGATTCTTAAATGTCATTTTCATTAATCACGAATGTTAGTAAATAATTTTATTCTTGTTGAATAATGGAAAAAACTTGCCTTTTCTATGACCAGTGAAAAAAATTTAGAAAACCCTCTAGTAAGTGCCTCACTTTAATATTTCTTTTTTTTTTTTTTTTTTTGAGACAGAGTGTCAC